GAGACGATCAGATCGAGATTATTAGTAGGAGCCATGTTTTTAATCTCTGTTTGAATTGAAACACTTACATAATTAAGCGTTCGACTCGCGTATCTGTAAAGAAACTGCGAGCGTGCATGGTGGAAGTCCAAAGCGACTTGCGCGTCCACTCCAATACTGGCGTAGTTGTACGCGTACAATACGCGAGGCTGACGGTACCGGGCTAGTCTACTGCGCTTCGGCATTATCGTTACTTTCCATCTGTAAACAATTACATTTTGTATTAGATTTAATGATCATTTCTTATTTTAAACTAGCTGGTTCCGCGACTTCGCCCGCGTATAATAATGTATTTGGTAGAATTTAGATCTTTTATTTGTTTTTTCCTAACCTAGCAAATCTCATCAGAATCGATGCAATAAGTACCTAAGTTACAGATAGTGTGAAATGAATTTATTTTCGTGATTTCAAAAAAAAAACATTCCCACCAGGGCTGTAAATATAAAGGGCGATGCTACTAATTTACCTACTATTATCTGGCATGAAGAATTTTCGTAGGAAACTTGGTCTCGAGCTCGACGGACTAAAATGAAATAATATGGGTTTTCAAGGACTAATATCAGTATTCAGCAATGTGTAATTAGTTTTTTGATATATGAAAAACTACAATTTCAAGTTAACTGAAAACATATTATTGATTCGAGGATTCGAGGGTTTCGCTCTTTAGACTGCTGTTACCCTCTTTGCATACCTTAATGTTAATTATACCAAAAAAATTATCCATTTTTTTTATTTCCGATAAAAGAATTGGCCCAATTGGTACAGGCGTTGTTGAGTTATGTGCTTACCAACACATTTTGCGATTCATTTTTAATTTTATATATTATAAGACAAGAAGACATAACAATGAATTTTAATAAACATATATAGGTAACCTCGACGACACTAGGTTTTAAATGTAAGTTTCCTTATCTATCTTAATTCTGAAAAAAAAGGCGGTGTCAATAATATCTATTATAGTACATTTAAAATTGTTTTACCTGTCTAATGGCTGATGATTGGCTTGTCTTACAGAGTTGATAATGTTATGTGCGTCCAGAGTGGTATGGCCGCCCGCGCCCCAGCCCAGCACACGAGACAGGTCGTTTCCAGTACCCATGGGCAGAATCGCAACAGCAGCCTAAATAAAAATAAAACCTCATCAGACGAAAGTACTAAACATTAAATCTCAAAAAATAAAGATCATTTTTTTGGACCAGTTACTAAGTAATAGAATCGGTAGATTCAATAGAACAAAGAAGCAGTCGGTACAATAAGACTTAAACATGACGGTCTAATTGAGAACTTCTTCTTTTTATAAGTCGATAAAAAATAAAACATTTTCATATAAAAATGTTTTATAAAAATACCTTGACATGTGGAAAAGAGAACAACGAGTTCATAACCCAGGCTACTGTGCCGTCTCCACCTGCGACCAGTATGCGACATCTCGGTGGCAGCCATCGCACCACACTCTCAGGAGAAGTTGAACTAATATCCACCACCTGAAATCAATTGGTTTACTATTTTTATCAAAATTGACTTTTTGAATTTAAACAAATACTGCCTGCTTCTGCCTGTAAAGAAGTGGTTGCTGCTGTGGGTTGGAATTTCCGACCGAAATTGAAAGACTACAATAGCACTAAAGACAAAAATAAAAATAGTTAAACTGGTGATTTCAACAATTAGCAGACTGTATTTTTTTTATTGTCATTTAATGTTATTTTTTTTCGATCTCTTTGACTGTATTTTAGTGTTACATTGTTCTCGCACAACCCAAACAACAAAACTAAGTAACTGGAGAATTGTGAACTTGATTGAAAAAGAGTAACCTATGGAGTTTCTTGTTCGTTCTTCTCCATAGGAATCTACACCTTGGAATGAGCAAATAGCTTCACTTGTTAATTTTCTTTATTGACGTTCAACAGTGCCTCTCTGGTCTAATTGAAATAAATAATTTTGACTTTGACTTTGAAATAGATTCTCAACTTTATTACTAAAGCATAAGGTTGAAAATCAATCTAAGATATATCTGTCGCAATAATTGTCGAAACGTCGCTTATTATAGAATTTTGATTACGACATTTTCCTGTAGGTAGTTGGTAGAAGTATCGATTTAAACTGTCAAACACCGCGAGGACACCGGTGACCGCAACCTTTTGTTCTTTAATTGTGTCTATAATGACGGTACTCAAAGGGTAAGGAAAATAAATTATTATTAGTAGCAAACAAATTTTGCTATAAATGCAAACAGGTAGATGTTTTCATCAACTCTATCCATGTACCCACACATATTTCAATGTTATTACTTATTTTCTTCAAAAATGTGTTGTGATTACAGTTTGTATCCACAACATAATACATAAATGAGTATAATTCACTGAAATGGCAATAGCATAGAATAATGGCAATAGCATTAAATTCAAATATATTCACAATACATGGACATTATTGTAATTAATTATAACTTACTTGAATAGGATTTAGCAGGCCCCTGAATAGAGACAGCACTTCATCACTCCTGTTGCTTCCAGACTTGGGATTAGCTGAAACATATATTAAATAATATTAGGTTTTAGGATGAAACTTGAAACCCTGTGGCGGACAAAGTATTACGAAGATTTTTATTTGGTTTTTACAAATTCTCAGTAATAGGAGGGAGTCTTGTTTGGCAATTGCCTCACTCTCCATTATATAGATCAGTGAGATGATAGTTGTTTAATTAATTTCTTAAGAAACTAAGATTGAGATATTCTGCACCATTAATGCCGGAATACTGAAATGTTACTCAATTTTAAGTTGTGCTTAAATATCGTACCATCTCTGTCATTTTACAAAGAATTTGTAGGGACAGAACTATACTTAAGCGCTACTTAAAATTGAGTAGCGTTTGAGTATTCCGACATAAACTAATTAAAATTTGCCTACTGACTCGTGACTCTAACAGGTAAAATATTTACTTCAAGTTATTTAACCATCAAACTATTGTATGAATAAGTCACTGCTGAAACAAATATGAAGGTCAGTTGCCTTGTAACATGAATAAATAAACAATCTCAGGAAAATAATGATTCTTCAAGTAAACACCTACCTACTATAATGAATGGTTCCCAGTCATTGCCACCTGGATGTTTAATGTTAGAAACAACTCCTCTTTCTAACTGTACACATGCAGGTGGAATAATAATATTCCTGTACTTTTGAAAATCACATTGCTGAAAAATGTTATTTACATTAAACTTTAATGGAAACTTCATTATTTGAGGCCAGTGACTGAAATATTATGTCAATTATTAAGCTTGAAAGTTACACAGGAGGTTACAAAAAGAGTATAGTGAGCACAAAGTTTTGATATTAATAAGATTGTCTATTAATTAATACAAGTCTCAATTTCATTGCCTATCTCAGTTTAGACTTCAAACTCAACTGAGTGCATAATTTCAGTTAACAATAAACATGTTACAATTACTTAATTAAAATTAACAAAGCAGCAGTAGAGTATCACACTACACATTTTTAATAAGTGTTAAATTAAATATTTCAATTTACCTCATTCTCAAGAGCATGTGTATGAGCACATAATTTTGTTCTTTGACACCAAGTACAGAAGTATTTGTTTAAACCTTCTTCATGGTGATCCTCACTATCTGATTGGCTCGTTCCCACTAATAATAAAAAAGAATAAAGAAACGATAATAATTCTCTGAAAAAGTAACTAATTAAATCAAATCAAATATTTAGTAAAATAATATTTAATCTAAAAATTTAAAACATAAGGAAATTTACCATGAACCCAGTGATGGTAAAACGGTTTATCAGCAGGCCAAGACACTGGTTTACACCTTATTTTTTTATTAATAGATCTGTGACATCTCTTGCATGCACTTACAGCACAACATTCACAAAAGAGTCCCACTACCGGTAGCATCAACTTACAACAATTTGTGCACTGGAATGAAATAAAACCAATTTTAATTTACAAATACTGAAAATATTTAAACCATCCGAAGTGAAAATAAACTCACGTATATATTGTAGGGTACAGATTTATTACACTGAATGCTTCTCCATGTATGACCTCGGGCCCGATACCTTGTTCGCATATAATTATTATCAGCAATTAAGGAATGAAAAATTCGATACACCAAATAAATGAGAAACGCTCCTCCCACTAAGAAATAATGATTAGAAAATATAGCATTATTTAAATCAAAAAGGGTTTCAATTTTGGAATCATCCATTATAAAAATAATACGTTTTATTTAGAAACAAAAGTTAGAATTTATTAAACGAGAGAAAATCGATAAGCAATCTATTTCATTGTTTACATTATTGATATGAACATGGAATTGATTGGAATTTAACTTTGACTTGGTGACCAACTGACATTAACTATAGACAATACAAGATTCAACACTGACAGTGACAATAAAACTCTATGCATTGTATTGTCACATTTTTTTTGTTCACCAGGTTAAACTGACTTTTAGGTTTTTGGATCAGAAGGTAATGCTTCAGCCAGTCACTCTTAGGTTTTTCTGGGTTCTCTCATGTTTATTACTTGCTTTATAAGACAAAATAATTGAGATAATACTTATGCAAATCGTTTTATTTGAATAGACATTACATTCTTTTAATTTACTAAAGTAGAAAAAACTTATTTCAATAGAACACAAGTCAAGAAGCGTGTTTTATCTTTTATAATCAACTTCAAGTCCGCTTCAGCTTTGACTTTGCATGCAAGTCTCTGCTTCTTTATCTTCTTCATATGCTATATGTTTAAAGAGTTTAAATATAAAACGACCTTGTATCCTTTTGACAGAGAAAATATATCTATGGAGAAAATGTATCAAGTAAAATACAATTGGGTCTGTTTATCTATTTTAAGTCTGTGTCTTTAGTTTAATATGACAAGAAGGAAAGTAAGAGTAATGTAATACTAGAGAGGTGCGATAGACGAGTGGCACTGGCGAGACGAGTGGCACTGGCGAGTCGAGTGGTGTGATGTGTAGTACGAACTATAGCTATCGCCAATCACCCCATCACCCGTCCCCGTCAGGCAGGCGTCAACATAGCGTCAACTGTAATGAATGACGTTTCTGTTCGACACAATTTTATGAAATTGAAAAATACATTGTTGTAACAATCTTCTTTCTATGTGTGTACGATATGTAGTGCATAGTTGACGGGAATTGATACTTTATTGTACTGATAGTTACGTAGTTGCGGCAATTTGAAGCCGTTTATTATAAAGTCTCTATTGAATAGATGGGTGTTATGTCGGTGTTGTGCTAACTGGCAAACAATAAAGCCATAAAGTGATTCAGGATTCAAGAAATAAAATCGCAGTTGCTGAAAGTACTCGAAGGCGTGTTGTCCAGCCAGGTGAGATTATAATTTAAATCATTGGGGAGTTGTATATTTTGGTGATCTAATGTTTTATAATTTTCAATCATTGTTTATTTACAGTAAATAATTGGGAGCGACAATGACGTATTATGATTACTATGATGGCAGTAGGATATTCTCATTCATATCAACCAGAGTTGGGCTTCCCTTAGACTTAGTAAGTACCATCATTATATTTCATTTTATACTTCAATACAGTAGTTATTAAATAAATTATTTCATAGAAACACTTAGCTCATAGGTAAACTGCTTGGTATTATGAACTGTGGCTATCATGAACTGGTGTTTTTAATGGCCCAAGACATTTTTGTGTAATGTAGAACTTTAGTAAAGCATTGCATAGTTACTTACTTCTGACGGCTAAAACTTCATTAATAAATAATAAGATTAATAATTAAAATTAGCTTAATGCCCGTCTGTGAAAATAAAATATTAGGTATGTTTTTTAAATAAAGAGCTTGAATTATTTATTCCAAACTTAGCATTACGTAACATTTGAATACATACATTTTATATTCAACATTGACTTGAGCATAATTTATTTTAGATAGTAAATTTTGTTAAACTAAATTTATATTTGGAACCATACAATATATCTGAAAGATTTCTTAAAATGAGTTTATTGCTCACTAATTTGTGTCTAATTTATGTGCACAATGGTGATCATCGTCATCATGTTTTCACAAAGAAATTCATAATAGCTTATCAAATCTTGATTAAGTCAGAATTTAGCATTGGCAATGAGAGATAAAGAGACACATTTATTGCCACCATTTGACCTTAAATAAATGACAACAGACTGGCATGTGATACCCCAAACTATAATAAAAAAAGGTTTATACATTTCATCTCTATTGCACAGCAATAAGGTTGATATTCAATTAAAAAAATATATGCATACAATATTTTGTCATTTTAATATTTTATACAGTAAATTTTGTTATTTTTTATACCTACGGCAGACAGCTAATAATAAATTTAATACACTTTTAATGATTATAGTCGAAAAGTTGTGGCCTGACTGAAGCTGGTTTTGTTAATAGTTGATTAATAATATTTCCATATTTCTGGATAGTAACATTTTTCATTTCACCCATAGTAAAAACTGATCCTACATTTAGGATAATTAATTCATAGTCATAGGTTTGGACAGCCAACGCTGATTTGGGCACTCTCCGTTTAAGATTCGATCAATTTATAATCTTAGTCCGAGGTACTCTCTCAGGGAACTATTTAAAGAAATTAATATAATGACCGTTGTCTCTCAATACATTTATGAAAATGTAGTATATGCTCATAAAAACAAAAATTTATTTAAAAAGCATAGTGATATACATAATATCAACACGAGAAATAAAGACAAATATGTTGTTCCCACTACTAGACTAAAGAAAATAAGTGGTTCGTTTAGATGTCAGAGTATACGCTTTTACAATAAAATTCCCAGCCATATCCAAAATCTGAGTCTAAATAAATTTAAAAATGCCATTAAAGATAAATTTTATAGTAAAGCTTTTTATAAAATTAAAGACTACCTAGATGATAGTCTGGCTTGGGAATAAGCTGCTGTAACGTCCACACGGGTCATGTTGACATGTTTGTAACATATAGTTACATTTCTTGACATTGTTTTTCATACATTGTTCTAACTTGACATTTGCTTTTTCCTTTACAATTGTTAGTGCTAGGACCGTGCGAGACTTTGCCTCACCATTTCTTTTCTAATTACCCATATTCTGACAGTTTGAGTATTTGTGCGACCCACGCAAATGTTCTTTAGGTTGGTATTGTTCGTCGAATCAGTCAGCCTCACCTGTTAATTGAGCCGACTGTAAACCGACACATGCGTACTGCCTTCAGAACGGGTCCGCTCAAACTGTTGTGGTTCTTTCCTCAAAAGGCCACTACAGAAAGAACTTGCACGGTTCTCACACATAATCTTTTATACATATTGTCTGGACTTTAAAAGAGACAGACCTCTGAGTTTGTTTCGGCATTTCTTCTCAGAGTAGTCAGTTAGGAAATGTCGACCTCATCGTTCGCTTGATAAAATTGACGTGTAAAAGTGCTGCTTTGTAGCCTATTTGCAGAAATAAATTCACTTGTTTCACTTGTTTCACTAAGCGTAATTAACAGCTACTTTGTATTTTTCCTAATTTTTAACAAATATAAAATAAATACTATTAAAAGAAATTCCCGCAGACGAAATAAGGAGTGACTAGTTGAGTGTAAAAGATTTCGATAGCATAAAAGCTTTACCTACTGTTATGTGATTAAATACCTTCCCCTTTGTTTCACATGAATCACATGTCTCAATAGAATAAATGTTTTTCAATTGGTGTCTCAAGGTCTCGGATTCGATTCCCAGAACAAACGAGCATTTAGCTGTGTATGTTTTATCACACCTTATGTAAGCGTCAGTTACGTTATAAACATTCAGAATATTTTCTAAAACTATTTGCTCCATTTAAAACAAGTTTTGAAAGTGAGCTAAAATGAGAACAGAATGGAAAAACTCGTTGATCATGGCATAATATTTTATTTGTAGCCTAGAGTGATTTGCCGAGTCGAATATAGTAGGTAACTCCTCCTTTTTTTGAAGTTTGTAAAAAATCGTTTTCCAACTCAGTATGAGCTGGCCACAGTAAGTACCCAACACTGGGTTTCAGTTGGCACCCTTGTGAATGCCTACCTCAAGAACTTAACATTTCACTAAATCTTACTAAATAATTAAATAGAATAAGACCATTTCTAAATTAAGTAAAAACGCGGGTTACTCACGTGAATATACTGAGAAAAGCTCTACTAGTTTCGAACCACAGAGGGGTTCTTCCTCATGAGCAGCGTGCGTGCGCGGTCGCCGCGACCGCGCACGTTAATTTAGTATGTCTCACGATAGTTATTATAAAAACAAGACCATTTCTAAAAAAGTTTGTTAGAGACCATAATGTAATTTGCTCAAAACTGCTTGTACCTCTAACTGTAAGGACTAGTCTTCCGTCTTAGTTTAGGTATATCAGTTGACCATAAATCAGTTTATTATTTAAAAGGTTTAGTTATTTATACAACCCCACAAGTTATTATTTTGGGCATAATGTACACCTCTGCCTACCCCTTCGAGGATAAAATGCGTGATGTTATGTATGTACAACCTCACATGCCAACAAAATGACACACCTCTACAAAGTTGTCGAGGGTAGTTTATCTGATCTGCCATAACGTAAAATAATACGAGTAATATAGAAAATGATATAAGTATTGGAATTTTAGGGGTTCTAGTCAATATTATTCATCCTTAAAACCCAATAAAACATATCTTTTATTTTATAAAAAAGAATATCTTATCAATTAAGATTATTTTATCTATTTATAGTCATAATAAAACTCCTGATAATATTTGCTGTTAAAAATATTAAATTGCAATTCTGTAGAATGGTAAACCATTTCATTTAAAAATAAACTTTGTATTTCGTTTAATCAATATAAATAAGTATTTGTCCTGTATAATCTGCCAGCAAGAAATCAATGACGGTATTAAATATCACTTCCTGTGATGATTTCTTTTGCAGTAAATTTGTTGTCAAGGGCAAACTCATTGCCGGATAGTTCGAAAGAAATATCTGTATAATTTCAATTTATTAATGTCTCAAGATCGCATCGATCATCATTGTCTCACTTAGTGCTTTAATGTTTGATTTCTAATGCAAACTGAGGCCTACAGGATTTACAGTCGTTAAAAAAGTTCTGACTGGGGAAGAACTATCAGGAGTGGCTTCGATTTGATGATAAGACCAACAAGTAAATACCTGTATTTTAAATTCTCAGAGTTTAATACAACCATATATTGTGTTCTGTACAAGCACCCTTGTGATAACAGATACTTTCTGATAATGAGGACAAATACCTCGATTAAGTAAACACAGGTACTTATTGTCATGGCTTTAGGTATCAAGATTACTATTTCCTTTGTGTGTTAAGAATGATTAAATGTTGTAGCTACACGAAAGTAAATAAAATAATGTTATTGTAGGTTTACCTACCAATATAAGGGGTTCTAACTGACTAATATTTATATTATCTATATTAGAATACATAAATAAAACGTAGGGAGAGGTTTTATTCCTTTCTGAATACATACGATAGGTAAGACCTGACTTCATAATTAAATTTTGATACATACGTACAAGTTCATTTTACACATTAGGATGTTTATTGTATTTAGCGTATTTTAGCATAGCTCGTGCCTCGTAGTTGCTAAGTTCTTAGATTACATACACATAAGAAGTCTGATCTCATTGATTTATTTGTTGCTTTGTTATAATTACACGATTTATTTTACTCGTTGCACTTCATTCATTAGTACTTTTTTTTCAATAGGTAAATTTTTTGATCGCACAAGTAGCTGCACTATGCCTGGCAAGACTGTTTCGAAAACCATTAAGATATGCTTCGCCGGAATTTCGACATTCTGTGTGCCTTGTTATAGGTTTAACGATGGGGTATTTCTGTTTTGGAAGGTAATTATTTTTCGTTTCATTTTACCAAATATTTTATGCATGCGTATGTAATTTGTTTTTGTGTAGTTTGGTTACCGTTGTAGCGACGAGGTAAAGGTCAAATAATTACTATGAAGTACCTAACTACTTAATATTTGTTTTGAATATTTTCACGTTAATATGATTTATTATATGGTAGATACTAAGTCCCTAAAAGAATAATCACTCCCATCGTTTATTTTCTATGATAATTTTATATCTAATTTATGCAATGATAACTATATGAAATTATACAATTTGTGTTTATGCGAAGGCATACATCAACTTTTTCCATGGACATTTTATGTTTATCGACCAAAAGAATACAGGCGGTTTTCCATTGAAGAACATCGGACAAAAAAGAGAAAGTAATTTTCGAATAAATTTCTTCGAATAAAATTAATTCCATACGAAGTAATTTAAAATTAGTAAACAATTTATTTGCAAGGTGTACTTTGCATATGACTTACATACACACACATAGGTGGTCAAAGAATCGTCTATTCGGAAATATAAGTCTAGCGAACAATGGGTCATTAAAAAAGAAATGCTTGACGCGATGACGTAACAAAGATTAAATGTAAATTAATTTTAATAGATTGCAAAATACATAAATAAACATATGCGACATGACAAGACAATAAAATAGTATTCATTTATTAAATAAAGGAAATAGAGTACGATTTTCAGATAAGTATAAAATGTTCATAATTGTAATAATCTGAATAAAAAACAATAAATAATAGTCCTTTGTTATATTTCATAGCAGAATCTCCTTTACCATACATACTTACGTACTAAGTTAGGCATGTATTTAGTATATTTATCATTGTGCCTTAGTAAATATTTCGAAGTCCTGGAATTGTTTTAAAAAATATAATTATGTAAATTTATTATTATTTATTTACACAAACAAGTCGGTTAATAAACTATGAATCAGTATTTAATGCTTATATGTACTGACACCGACAAACAATGACTTTACAGAACTGCATAATGTCCACACTAATTGTTAATAATTTAATCGATTTTTAATATTATTTCTTGTTATGTTTTTAATGGTAGAACGGTAGAACCCAATAGTTTAGAACTTTAAACAGAATTTATTTAGTTAATAATTAAATTAACATAATTAAAATTGTCTTAGCACTCAGCACTTAAGTAGATAATAAATTAATAATAGCTTTAATTGTGCCCACCCCCTCTCCCTTTACTTCGACATTATTAAAAGTTTATCTAAAATATATTTTCTTCTCAATGTGTCTTATAATAAATACTAAGGAAGCTATTTTTATGGGCTAAGCCGGTAAACGAGAAGATGGATCACCTGATGGTAAGCAATCGGCGTCGCCCATGGACACTCGGAACACAAGAGGTGTTACTAGTGCGTTATCGGCCTTTTGAACGTTGTTGGGGATTCTGGGATTGGGGCGATGTTACTCAATAGTAAAATTGTGTCTGTTCATGGTGTCGCTTGAACCACCACAATTTTTTCAGGTATTTGGGAGGTCATTAGCTACCTCTAAGTCTTACCCATAAATCCTTCGTCCCAAATGTCACGATTCTTTTTTGTGAAATAATTTTTTCCCTTATATTTTCCCTTAACTCAAAATGTTTTTTTTTTGTTTGTAGGTCTAGTGGCCCAAAATAAGTTTTGTTGTATACTCCATAGTCCGTTTAATCCAAATATATACAAGTATTCGATACAAATGGTTACAAAAATTTTAAGTTAAAAAAAAGTTAAGTGTAATTTCGATAAATTTTTCATTTCAATAAAAAAATATAATGTTAATAACCGTGACAAATGGGATGAAGGGTTTATGGGTAAAAGGTAGCTATTAGATAATTACCTCTACAATCCCTGAAAAAAAATGTGTCGGTCCATGCGCTAAACACCCTGTTTACATACAACTATTTGTTTAGTTTTATTTTCCATTATATGTACATTAAACGTATTAAAACCTATGAATAATACATAAGGTTAAGTTTTCCGTTAAGTACAGCTTGTTATACAGGGTCAATAAGGTATATTTCAAATTTAATTATCTGTTGTCTCATAAATGTTAATACGTCAGCTAATAATGATGATGTTTTTTCAGACAAGCGATCCATTTATCGGTGCTACCCATGTTAACCTACACAATGTTAAAGAGCGTTTCACACAATATTATGGGAAAGTAAGTGAATAAATCCCGTACTTCGGTACTACACTTTCTAATACAAATATTGGCTAAGTATTTAGTCTACGTTAAATTTAAACTATGTCTTTTTGTTTCTAGCGTTATATTGGCGGTTTCAATGGTATACCTTTCATGTCTTCATTTACATCGACAAATATACCACACGGCTGACTATTCTTTAGATATAACAGGTATGTGTTAGAATACTTGTAAAATGCAATATTTTCGTATATTATCTTAGCCTCGTATTCACCAAAGAATATTATTTTGTTCTAGGTCCGTTAATGGTAATCACTCAAAGAGTTACATCATTAGCTTACTCACTGCAGGACAGTTTAACTGTAAAAGAAAGACCAACATCAGCAAACTCATCAGAAGCGAATGGCAGACTAGTGAAAATAGAGAAGATTCCGTCACCGCTTGAATACTTCGCATATACATTAGCCTTCCAAACTTTAATGTGTGGACCAGTAGTGTTTTACTCTGACTATATTAAATTTATTGAAGGTGCGCGCGTCGATGAGGTAAGAACAATAAATACTTTTACTCACAACGACCTACATAAAGGTTTATACATGACTGCGCAGAAGTTACGTTTTAATGACTGAATAACTAAAACCATAAGTACTTAATTTTTTATTCACTTGAACTTGACTTTTTATTGCAGTTCATTAGTACTGTTAGTCACGAATACAATGAAATTAGTTACATCATACAAAAGTAAGCAAAATTATAAATAGTCCAGTTTCAACTGTGCGCAGATAGTTTTGAATTTTACTTTCTTAATAATCCGGATTTTGGAAAACTTCTTGGTTGTATTCTTCAGGTCATGAAAATTTCGAAACCATTGTTGATTAGGCCGCGTGTGTAACACATACATATAACCTAAGAGCTCTGTTCAAGTTCGAATATAGTCGGGCAAACACGAAATGGAAACGTAAGTAAATCTGAAAAGATAGTGTGCATCGTATGAAAATTGCCCGGTCATTTAATATTCCTGAATTCACTGAAAAGACACGTGAATTTGTATCGAGTACCCACTGACGCATGATACGATGTTTTTGTGGAACATTAATCAGTTGTAGCTTGAGAGCCTTGGAGTTTGAATTATGTGTTTAAAATACCTTGTTTTATAACACTATTTAAAATATTTATTACCCTATGTTTTAGTTCGAAAAATCAAAACATGCCACAGAACCATCGCCGCGTCGTGCTGTGTTTTACAAAGTATGCGGTTCAGTGGCCGCTGCCTTATTATATTTAACTTTGGCTAAGAAATATCCTTTGGCTGTGTTAGAAGGTAATTTTAATATTTTTTTTTCTTATTTTCATTTAAGTTAATTACACCCATGTTCATGTGCCAACCCGCATTGAGTAAGCGTGATGATTAATGCTCAAACCTTCTCCGTTTGAGAAGAGGCTTTGCTCAGCAGTGGGCATTTATAGGCTGATGATGATGATGACTATTATTACCTATCACCCCATATTATTGGAAAGCGCGAAATTTGAGAACTCGAGTAAAGCTGCATTGCAATCGATAGGTAATAAAATTCTTTCACAAGTGGTTCGTTGCAGAGTTTATAGGTTCGAGAAAAGTCTTAATGACAACAAAGTGCTAGAAACAGTGTACCTACCTACCTAGACAGTACAGGTTTTAATTTGGATGTTTCTGAAACTAACGTTTATCTTACTTAATGTAAAATTAATGTTAAAACCGTTTAAACTCCCTATTGTCGTACTTACTTTTACATATTTAATGTGTTGCACAATATAAAAACAAATATATTACATTCACAGAATTGACGGACCCTTCATCAGAAGTGTCGCGGTCATGGTCAGCCCTGTACCTGCTTTGGTACGCGTACTTGTCAACCCTAGTGGTGCGGTGCAAGTATTACCACGCCTGGTTGCTGTCTGAAGCGATATGCAATAACTGTGGCATGGGATTCAATGGCTACAACAACGACGGAACGCCTAAATGGGACAAAATGTCCAACATCGATATATTTGGTTTTGAGGTAAAAATGTTAAATTTTTCGCGTATAAAGAAGTAATTGTAATTTAAAAACTATCTGACTTGGATCTTTTAATATTTTTCTGATAACTGTAAGAACCTGTATGTCCAAATACACAAACGCAACTCAATTTTAAGTCGCACTTAATATAGTTGTCACTACAAATTCTTTGTAAAATGACAGAGATGGCACGCCTTTCAGTATTCGGGCGATATTCTTTATTTATGGTTAAGGGCTGTGCAAAGTTATTTGTTACTTGAAATAAACTAATAATTATACTAAAGTATTTACAATTTTATTTAAAATTTGCAGTTTGCACAAAACTTCCGTGTGGCGATCGCCAGTTGGAACAAGAATACTAATGCGTGGCTCCGTGATGTGGCATACGAGCGCGGTGGCGCGGCGTGGCGTACGGCGCGCGTGTACGCACTGTCCGCCGTATGGCACGGCTTCCATCCCGGATATTATTTAACGTTTTTCGCAGGCGGACTCTTTACTATTGCGGCTAGGAAGGTGAGGCGATTTTTTAATTTGTTGCGCAAGTCTTTAACTACTCTGATATTTTATTCCATGGACGGCCATCGTTTACACGATTAACATTACATGGATTACATCGTTTACACGTTTAGTAAACGATTAACATCATAAAATATAGTTTATCTGATTTTATTTTAATAAATATATCACCTAATTTCTTAATATATATCTATCGTTCCAGATACGGTATGTGGCTCGTCCGATGTTTTTAGACAGTGTCCCCAAGAAACTTTTTTACAATTTCGTAACATTCTTCACCACAAGAGTTGCGATGACATACGCCACCGTGCCATTTGTACTCCTTCATCTCACTCCTAGCCTCGCTTTTTACGGGTTTGTATTATTGTTTAATTTCTATTTTATTAATATTTAACAATATGGCAGTTTATGCTGTACTCTGGTATTTTGACCTGTTAATGTAATGTATTATTTACTTTCAGGAAATTTTATTACTCCCTTCACTTCATCGCTTTGGGTGCAATGCTAATACCTGAGAAGTCCACACGATCCAAAGCAACACAAATTCAAGAGAACATCTCATGTAAACTTAGTGCAGAAGCATTGCCGACATTGGAATCAGTAGAATCGTTAAATGGGAAGCTTAAAATAACATAGAATATGTGCGTTTTGAGGTCTCTGAAGGTATTTCTCATTTTTAATTACGATTACAACAATCAGAAATATTGTTATAAACTATAATTGATATTAACAAGGAATAATCTTATAATTCAATGTTAAGTATACTATTACGCACAAAATACTGACAGCAAAATATTTGTGTAAAGGTAACTTTTATTCTAACATAAGAGTAAGATGATTTATTTTCTAACGCTAAAACAGTGTTAAGTATCTAATTTGTATTATTATCTATTTATTTCAGTATTACCTCCAATGATAATACACATTATGTAGGTAGTGACTCAATTCAATTCAGAAATTGATTTCAATGAGATGACACAAGGCAGCTACCTAATCATTATTTTTTGTTGAACTGAGTTGTAAGTCATATAAGCATTATTCTATCAACTTATTTCTTGTAAGTGAAAAAGTTTAATGACTGAATAGGCACAGCCCTATCAAGTAAGTCTGGGCGTACAGTCAGAAGTCTCCAAAGTATTGTGTTTATTACGCTGTGGAGATTAGATTGAATTTGTTTATAGATAATTGGATTTTCGCTTCGATACGCTCTTGATTCTGCGCCCGTATGAATTGATAGATTGTATAGTACAATACATGCCTTATTGTTACCTAGCAAAATACAGTTAAGATTTATTTTATTTCTAAAAAGCATACCTACCTATAGCTTCTAATATTTAAATGAGACAATTGTGCAACCTAATTAGGTAAAGCACTTGACCACAATTTGGCCATATTGAGTCTGAATATTTAGAAACAAATACAAATGGATTTCATAGTTCTTAATATTCTTTATTATTATTGAAATACTTTTTAGTATTACTGTTAAAACCACTGACTAAAATGTGATGTCTTATAATGATCATATATTGTGAATTAAGTACTACATAAGATTATTATGTATTGACTACTTATAGAAAAATGTTCTTTGTTCTACATATTACACTGGTTACTTGTTTACCCATTGTTAACTACTTAAAAATATTTTTCGAATCTAACATATTCTTGAATTACAAAATGTATTCTTCATGTTATGCTACTAAAGTAAAGTTTGTTTAAATAAAACAACATATCTTTAACATAATTGTTATATTTTATAATTAATAGTTTGTGTTGCATGAATGGTGGTTTACTAAATACAACTCAATCATTCGGTCAACAATCAGATTTCATTTTAACAGTTGTATTAAGTAAACCAACAAGCATTTAATATAATTAAATTTTGAAATGTATTATTAATGAAAATATGAGTTTAAGGTTTTAATTTTAATCTGGAATTGCCATAACATCGCAAAAGGCATGCATGATAGTTATAGTGTCTACATTATATTAAGTTATTTATAAACAATTTGGAATATTTGCCAATAATTTCTTATTCGTAATTTTTAAAAATCAATTCTCATTATTTCTAAATTATAATAAAAACAAGAGTTTAGATTGGAATTAATTAACTATAATTTTGTATAAACTAAGTTTTTTCCATCTTCAAAAGGGAGAGGTAATATTTTTTTTTAGTTCTGCATGCAAGTTTTGTATTTATTAGACCAACAGTGACAGCTGAGTAGCCTGTAAGTGTTGACAGTGTAAAAGATTTTTTTAATGAACACAGAAATATACTGTAAACTATCATCAGTTGAATATGCAAGTGTGTGTAAATACAAGAAAATATTGTAAATCCAAGATAGGATGTATATTGTAACCATTGTTACATCCAAGTAATTTTGACAGGTTGTGTACATTTTACTTTAACATAGCATTTACAGAATGTATAATTGTTTATCATCTGTTGATCCAATGATTAAAATATCTAACTAAAACTTTGTATTGCATCAAATTTGTGGATGTGATACCAATTTAATACCTCAAACATGGAATTGTATTTATTTTTGTTACAAATTAATTTTATATTAAACTTATTTTATATGGTTAGTAAAAAATATATTTTACATGAATGTTTTTTATTGACACTCGTCCAGGCTTCCAGGCTTTTTACCTTAGCAGATGATACTTAACAGCTGAAGTAGTAACCATACACCTTTTTCTTAATTGTCATGGTTTGTCCTTGTGGTGGTGCAAAATTAATAATTACTTTTAATGTGTTAGTTCATTTCTTATTCATTTTCATGTTCATAAATGCTTGTCTTATGCAACAAAGTGCACCGGGAACATCATTTGTGTCATCTAATCTTTTCTGCAATTCTTTGAAGTCAGATAGTTTTGGTGTAACACTGGACACTGAAACATTAAAATGAGAATTAATAAATTACACCAGTCGCCCAACAGGGTAGGCAGACAAAATGGAATTACAAATATGTGAAGTTAAAAATCAATCTATAAATACTTACAGTGATAGCATCCAGTCTTTGTGTCTTTTAGTAATCGAACAGAATAATTTTCAGACTCCTTTTTGGCTTCAGTGAAAAATTGGACATAAATGGTTTGCTTTCCTGGACTTTTTGATTCTATTGTATAATACATTTTCAAAAACTTCTTGTAATATTTCTTAGCCATGAGGAAAGCTTCATGTGTCTCTTTAATTTCTTGAGATAACAGTTTTTGATCTGAAATTATTATTCATAATTACAATTTAACTATTATATTTCATAAATGCAATTTAAATAAGTAAATATTAGGTGAGTGTAAGTGCCCTTAAGAACAAGTACAATAATGAAAGTAAGTTCCATCCATTAACTCGTTGAGCAGTCATTATAGACACAATTAAAGAACAATAGGTTGCGGTCACTGGTGTCCTTGCGGTGTTTGGCAGTTTAAACAACTGAAGCAGTCAACATCTCATTGGTATTTTTCATACTGATAAGACTTAAAATAAATATACAAAGTACTAATAAAATTCAGACCCGACTTGTTCATTTCTTGTCAGTGAACTGTTTGGAAGATAACTCTAATGTAAATAAACTCACCCTTTTTGTAGTTTTCATATTGAACCTTTTGTTGTGAAAATTCTTCAAGTTTCTTGTCAATCTCCTGCCTCATTTGCTTATTACGTTCTATTAAAGTTTTTAACTCATCGTCGTGATTATGAGTAACATTGCTGTTCCAATTGAACTTTTTATGCTTGAAACCGTTTTCTAGGACACCCAAAAATTGTTCATGTAAAGATTCTACTTTATTTTCAAATTCCATGTAATTGTTTTCTTCAATACTTTTCAAATTGTAATGAATATTCCAATTTTCTTCAATGATACTCATTGTTCCAATTGTGAATCGTAAAGATTATAATCAAAATATTTTACAAGAGTAAGCAGCTCAAGTGAATAATATCTTCCCAATCTCGTAGTTTTCTATAAATGCTTCATCACCAAATGTTCGATTACACCAAATAAATAAAAATCGTTTGTTTATTGGAAATCGTAACTTTTCACAACTTTTACGTTCAAATTCTCAAACCGTTTACTTATAGTTAAACTTGACAGCGACGCCAAAATAGTATCATGTCAATTGATGTCAATCAAAACCATAGATATCAAACCCATAACAATGTTTCATGCACTGTTATATTTATAAATCTATGGTTTCATGTGGTAACTAGAGATGAGACCATTGTTTTGATTTCTAGCGAAAATATAATCGTTTCAATACTAACTCATTCATCTGATGCTCGATGCTCTCACTGCCCACTACTTCCTAAAGGTAAATAATTCCAATCAATAATTCCATATCTATACATTATGTCTCATCATTATAATGTTTAAGAAAAAGCTATTATTATAAAGGAAGTGAAATATATGGACCCCTAATAATTCTCTATAAATCGACTAATCATAAAAAAAAATTCTGTAAACAATCTGTGGTAACTACCAAACAAACATTATGATCACCTCTAAAACCGAGTTGTTGGGTAGATAAAACGTCAAATTGTCAATGAAGATCGTGAATAGAAAATGTATTTGATTTAAACTAGAAATTTCATACTTTTCTACACTGTAATAAATGTTCAATGAGTGTGCTGTCATGCAAAAGTTAAGGCCATTGTTAATAAACAGTTATAGTTGTCTCTGATTGCAAATCGCCTGGGAAGGATATGAATTTCTGGTAAGCAAATCGAGTGGTGATTTTATCAGTATGTCATGTGTTTATTTAGCTTTTTTAATACTATTTCTCTATCTCAGGTTTTCGGCGAAAAATCTTAAGAGGTCACATCAGTGGACTGTTGTTTATCATTATGTTTTATTGCATTTATGATGAAAATCTTATAAAGTCTGTGTCTGAGCTTGCTACAAGTTTTACGACTTTCAAGATATTCGAACAGAGTTTGTCCAATGGGCCATTGTCTAAGCTGTTTCAAAAATCAAGCTAATGCAGATATTACAAGTTCTCCACACAGAAAAAAAGATGGTGAGTAATCCTGTGACTTGTATTGCAATAAAATGATGTCAATTTACCTAGGTATTTAATTATGGGTTTTTCCTATTTCAGAGATGACAGAAATAGAAGTAACAGTCTCTGTTTATCCGCAACAAGAACCTCTTCTCAATGACAATCAAAATAGCATTAGTCAGTTCAGAAACACAAGTTCTTCACATGTTTCAAGCACATTATCAGGTGAACAGAGTCCTGTGGAGATAACCAATACACACAAGTCAATCACAGTTTCAGAGAGAATACCTAAGCCATTCTATCAGAAGTTGCCAACCATACCTCGGACTATGTCATCATTGGGTACCAATGACTCTCGAATATCTGAGTCTAAAATTATTCAGCTCTTTGATCAGTACAAAGATTCATTAGAAGATGCTATATTGGCTGAAGGAATAGAAAACCTTTGTAATGATCTGCAGTTGAACCCAGATGACTTCAAAGTTTTGGTTTTGGCATGGAAATTAAATGCTAGTCAAATGTGTAGGTTTACAAAATCTGAATTTGTACAGGGCTTGAAGAATATGAAAACAGAATCAATTAAAGGTATACAAAATAAATTAACTGAAATAACAAATGAGCTAAAGAGGGATACTGAACACTTTAAGGATTTGTATAGATTTACATTTAAATTTGGTTTAGATGTGAGCACAGGCCAGAGGATTCTGCCTACAGACATTGCTATTGTATTGTGGCGTCTAGTCTTTACAAACAACGAGCCTCCTATATTAGACAGGTGGTTGTTGTACTTGGAAAAGAATCCACATATAAGAGGCATTCCAAAGGACACATGGTACATGTTTTTAAATTTCTGTGAATTCATTGGGGATGATCTCAGCAGTTATGATGACACGGAGGCTTGGCCAAGCCTCTTTGACGATTTTGTGGAATATGAAAATGATCAAATGAATCAAAATGTCAAGAAGAATGATATCAAAACACAGGATTAATGTCCATTGCCAAATTTTAGCTTCTGTAGGTACTTAATTAAGATATTAAGACTGATAATCTGATAATGAATGTTCAATGATGTTAGTCTTGTATCTCAGGTGAAGTTAAGTGTTAATAAGGTAAAAGAATGTATTATTAGTACTACATACTGAACAAAATTGTGTAGGTACATATTGTGAGATTTAAAAGTGTACATAAAGTACTTTTATATTTTATAAATGTTTATCTTTAGGTTTATTTTTAAAATTATTTAACATTCCAGTAATGGAATTAGACAAAAAATTTGTAAATATTGTTCTTAGTTGCATCAAAGGTACCTTTTATTTCTTTATGCTGTATATTTTTATTTTACTTTTACCTTTCATTGCTAATTTCATTCTAAATCTTGCACAATCTGAATAATGCCTGAAAATAATAGAATAATACTAGCAAAGAAGTTTTATTTTACATCTAAACAAGAATACCGCGATTGTAATTTACCTGATGAGGTATTATTACAGTTTCAACTTGCAGTCTGAAGTTTGAAAAAGTACCAATGAAAATTACCAGACTATTTGCTGATAAATTATTACTGTATATTATTAGTTTTATAAAGTACTAGCTGTTGCCCGCGACTTCGTCCGCGCAGAATGACTTCTGGCAGAATTTTGGCTTTTGAATTAGACTTTACCAAGGGACATTCCACGGTAACAAAAAATGTCGTCAGACTTCATTTAGTACTTAGGTTATACTTACTTATTGTGAAATGAATTTATTTTCGTGATTTCAAAAAATTAACAATCCCAACAAAGAGGTTTTTACCCGTACAGAGCTCGCCTCGTGAGGTTTCAGTGATTAAAACTATCAAATGGATTCAGTGATTTAAAAGATACAGAGTGCCGGAATTTTAACTAATGAGAACGTCGACAATTTAATAATATAATCCAGTTTAATTTTTCTTTGCATGAGAAGCATGTGGGTACTTGCATTTTTGCTGTTGTAGGTATCCAACCTTTTTGAATGTTTATCAGTTGTTAGTGCAATGTCTTGCTATTTCAATAACTTTACTGCCATGCTACTACACTATTCGAGTCGCTGCAAGTGCGATTTCCAGTATTACTGGATTTTGAAGTCTCGGTAGTACCGATACTACCTGACTTGCGCAGCTTGCTCCAACTCACTCGATTAGATAATATTCCGACCCCGATCACGGTGATCGCTGAACAAGAGCTTTCGGGTTCAATTCTATAGGTTGTTTAGAACATCATTTCTGTTGTTCTCGTCTCACCTCCGCTTTGAAGCAGTATAGACCTAACATTAATTATGTGCAACGCTGTTAAATATTCTGTGATAAAAAGCGTCAAATTTGAGTCAATACATAACATTGTAATTACAATGTTATGTATGACTAATACAGCTGCAACCAACTACGTCTTCAAAAATCGTAAAATAATATATAGGGTTACATAACATAACTCTCGCCATGCCTGTCTCCCATTGGGGTAGGCGACGCCACATGACATGATTATCACAAATAAACAGTACCTATCTGTACTGGGTAGGTATGGTGACTTGGAAACATTTTTTTTTTAGTACAAACAGCATGTATTCATTTTTCGTCCTTTTAAGTAATAACTGAAATAGGCAAATATTTTTAGCCAGATTTTCCTTATTTTTGACGAGTACTAATTGTACGTTAAGGAATGGTCGCCGTTTGCTCTCTGTAGGTACCTACCTATCCTTCATAATTGTTGATATTCTCAATAGGTATGGTGTGGTGCTCATCTCTCGTGTATGTAGGTCATGATTAACGAAAATTGGATAAAAGATCGATAAGGATATGCTCTTATTTTTGTAGTTGTAGACAGTGTAGTAGGTATAGTCAGACTAGAAAATGTGTTTTATGCAACTTTGCAGTGTTTGGAAATTGTACAATTTAACCGTCTGCCGCTATACGAAACAATAAATAATTGCAGCAGTGTACTGAAGAGACCAAAATCATTATGCTGAAGTCTGAAATATAATTATTGTATGTGATGCATTAATGTTTTTCTTTTATTATATTTGATGGGCCGACGTTTGACCATTATCTCGTCTGGTGGTCAGCGATGATGCGGTCTACGATGGAGCACGTCGTCCCATAAGCAACCTATTCACTCTGGCCTTGAAGACACCCAGGTTAAATGTATATACCCTTCAGGAAATACACTCGGGCAAAGAATAAGTGAACGCATCATACCAACAGACTGTTGGCACCTTTCTTGATTGAGATATCATGTGAAAAAATTAATTGCAGTAGTATTAATAAAATTTTATTTTTAAACAAAATAATATAGTCGCAGCCTGCCAGTGCTCGGTCGGTGTCGAGGCGCGCGCGAGGCTCACGCGGCCCCCCGCAGCAACTCAAAGGCACTACGACGCTGGCGGGCAGCGCGCCGGGTCAGCCCGCGACCTCTGTGCGCCCTACTTCCCTCTACTAAAGCATATCGACCAAAACAAAGCACGAGATAACCGGTTCGGGGGACTACGTGGGCCTCACATCTTGTCCTGATATACACAAAATATGACATTATACAAACGCCCTTAAATGTAAATCTGATTATATTAAAAAAGCTGACAATTTATAAATTCATAATATACATTATCATAACGATTCGGAATTTGGGCCGTCATTGTGAAAAATAATATTAGTAAAGCGAACCCCTTTACATATCGTTCCATAAGTACTCTCATTATGTTTCTACATTAATACTTTTACAATTGAGTAATTGCGGACAAAGTGTATATCATATTATAGTTATATAAGAGACGTCGAATATCATCTTTTCTAAAATATATAAAGTTGTCTATATTGTGTTTACAATCAACCATATCCCACTGGAAGATAGTACGGTACTTTTCGTTGCAATAATATTATACAGTTGTATCACTCTCGACGAAAATACACGTTTCGTCTTTGTATCTACTACAAGGCAATAAATTATAATCTACTTTCATAATTAGATAAAATATTGCAGATTATAATAAGTAACATTTAAACAGATACAAGTCAAACTAATGTTATACACAAATAAAACGTTCAGATGAAACTGAAACGAGAATAGTATAAACAATGTATTGTATTTTATAGCAAACTATTAAAAAATAAAACATAATTTTGTTTTAAAATAGGAAACAGTATTATAATAACCATTACATCCATAATGTGAAAATATAATCAATTATAGAGTAAATATGTTAGAGTGATCATCACATCACAAGCAAACTTAGCGTGTGTAGAGTGGTACAAAAAGTGTGTGAGTAATAAATTAAGTTGGTGTTTATAAAGAAACTAAATGTTGAATACCCCTGTTACTAACGCTAAGTGGATGATCAATTTAACAATTTACACGAGAGCCTTTTCCATCGAAAACTACATCGCTCTTTATGATAATATAAGTGTTACAGTAAAATAATTGCGGCTTTTCCATAGACAAAATTATATATAACATTTAGTAATGAGTTACAAATATGTTGTTCAAGTGTTTAAATACTAAAATTCTACGCGATGCTCGACAGGAATGGATGTGTATAAGTGGTTATAACTTTATATGGAATCACAATAAGTGTGGTAGGAAGTCATAAAACTTAGTAAAAATGCATAATTATAATGTATTTGCAATCAAAACAATAACTCCTAAAATATGGCATTTTGAAGAATAAGCTAGTAGCTAGAAAAGTCTAGTGTAACTACTAAAAAGGTTAATGCAACTTGTACATTGGTAGCAAGTAGCAACGCAACCAATATGTTGTACATACATAGGTTAGAGCTTAAACATTAAAGCAAAATTCACTTGAATGATACGAAATATTTAACAGGTAAGAGCATCGTGAGGAATTCAGTACAAATGTTTCGCTTTGTGGCTGTGACTGTATTTATTCTTATATAAAGCCTAGCTGTTCTATGATATTGAGAAATGGGAAATTATTTAGTGAACCATGTTGAAGCAATACACTCGAGCTCTCACAGGATACAGATCCCAAAATTCAGGATTACATATTTCATGCATTCTCTGTTGATATAGGTTTTGGAAAGGCCTATCCTAGCTAAATTACAAATTGTAGTGCCAAATTACTCAATCACCTTCAGGACTTTGCCAATCGCAATTGTTTTATCTGAAAAGAAATACAAGTCA